GCTCCCGGGCTCCTGGTCCCTCGGTTTTTCGCTTCGGTAGGCGCCGCCAGGCTCCGGAGCCGGCCCGAAAACAGGACTTTCCTCCTGCTCCTCCGCGGGGTCGCTGCCCTCGTCCAGGCTGGGGTAGGGGAGATCCCCGTCGGGGGGTTCTTTGTACTGGGTTTGCCTCTTGTGCTTCATCCGGCGGTTCTGGAACCAAACTTTGACTTGTCGCTCGGTGAGGTCGAGCAGAGCCGCTATCTCCACCCGCCGGGGCCTGCAGAGGTATTTGTTGAAGTGAAATTCTTTCTCCAGCTCCAGCAGCTGCGTGTTGGTGTAAGCGGTTAGGGGAGATCCCCGTCGGGGGGTTCTTTGTACTGGGTTTGCCTCTTGTGCTTCATCCGGCGGTTCTGGAACCAAACTTTGACTTGTCGCTCGGTGAGGTCGAGCAGAGCCGCTATCTCCACCCGCCGGGGCCTGCAGAGGTATTTGTTGAAGTGAAATTCTTTCTCCAGCTCCAGCAGCTGCGTGTTGGTGTAAGCGGTGCGGAGCCTCCTGGAGCCGCTGCTGTCTGCCAGCCCCTGGATGTCTTAAACATAGAGGAAAAAAAAAAAACAAACCCGCACGTTGCGAGGAGAGGGAGCGGGGGCAAAAGAGGAAGGGCTGCAGCCCCCCCCGCCCCTTTTTTTTCCGTCCCCGGCTCTACTGAGCAGGGGGTGGCTGGTGGAGGGGGGTGTAGGGTGTGGAACCCGCTACGGGAGAAAATAAATGTTTAATTACATTCTCCCCACGGTGGAAGAAGGTTGAAAATCACTCTCCGGTTCCCTTGCCCGAAGGAGGGGAAAGGATGCTGCTTCTCGGCCTCTCCCTTTAGAGATTTTCCTTCTCTGCTGCCTTCAGGGATAAAGGGAATTTCCACCCGTGTTCCCTTTATTTTTTTTTTCTTTTTCCTTTTGCCAATAGTTTAGGGACGGACGCTGCGGGGCTTTGATTTCATTATTCTTGTATTATCTGGCCAATGAGCTCTGGTGTCCGCCCTTTCTCCTGCCCAAGCATTTACCTGAACGGTGCCATTAAAATACTCACTGAATTGTGCCTTAAACACTTTTTTGGGGAAGGAAGGTCCCTGGCCAGATCTGCTGAGCCGCCCGGCCCAGGGGCGCCTCGGAGGGAGGCAATTGCTTTACTGGGGAGCTGGGGGAGAGTTTGCGGATGGATTTATTCGATTTTGCGATGGGGATCTGGCTCTCCACACCGTGCTGGAAACTGAGAGTCCTGCTCGCTCTTTCCGCCTCCCTATCCTGCTGGCAGCAACCCCCGCGTTACCCACCCGGCTTTCTTTCCCCCCTC